TCTACGCTGCTATTTGCAAGCAAGAGGGCAAACCCTTGAAGTTTCCCGGCAGCAAAGTGGCTTGGGAGTGTTATGCGATGGCCTCGGACGCTGACCTGATAGCAGAGCAGCACATATGGGCGGCAGTGGACCCGAATGCGGCAAACGAAGCGTTTAATATAAACAATGGGGATGTTTTCAAGTGGAAGCAGTTTTGGAAGGGGTTGGCGGAGCAGTTTGGGATTGAGGAGCATGGGTTTTATGAGGAGGAGGAGGGTGAGGGGAGGTTGAGCTTGGTGGAGATGATGAAGGGGAAGGAGGGTGTGTGGGAGGAGATTGTGAAGGAGAATGAGCTGCAGCCTACGAAGCTGGTGGAGGTGGGGGTGTGGTGGTTTGCTGACTATGTGTTGGGCGGGGAGGCTGTTTTGGACAGTATGAATAAGAGCAAGGAGCATGGGTTTTTGGGGTTTAGGAACTCCTCCAAGTCTTTCATTTCATGGATTGAGAAGATGAAATCTTACAAGATTGTACCATGAAGAAATGTACGATGATCATATATATATGCATATATGTTTTCTTAATGAATTGATAAGAGCTTGTAGAGATAATTAAAAGAGTTTTATTCTTTTTGTAAACATTGAAGTTACAACAAATTAATTGAGATACAAAGCTAGTTCCCAAACAAACGGTTGCGCCTGAATGCTTAGCATATCTCAATCAAGGCACAAACAATCTATTCTAACCTTTTGGCCTCGTGATTGCATTTAGCCGCGTACAGACTAAGCAAGCATGCCAATAACCCATCAATGTGTTTTCTCTTTGTATGAGATTATTTATAGAGATAATCTTTTGTGTCAACTTATTTACCATGTGTGTGGCAAGAAGAGATGTAAGTTCCCTCCAGTTTAATCATGACGAATTATAAATAAAAATATGCAAGAATTGTTATGGGATGTCGTACAAAATATTAAAATAAGAGTACAAACATGAAATAACACAAATATTGCTTACATCCTTAGGTGGGAGAAACTTTGCTCAAATTCAAGCTCGTATCAGCTCAGCAAATATAATG